CCTCCTACCAACACTTTGATTGCTAGGTTTACAGGTGTGCAACATTTTGTACAATGCTGGAGATAGAATTTACAGCATTGAGCATGCTGGGTAAGCATTCCACTAGTTGAGCTCCATCTCAGCCTCAGCCTCTTTGTGATTTTTTTGTGTGGATTACCTATCCAGAAACCACAGCCAGGTATTGAATTAATGGACGATTATTGTATCAGGGTTTTGACTTCTTATGTTCAATAGTTTTTTTTTATATAAAACCAGAAGCCCCAATATGTAATGCAAACATATTTATAACTATTACATCTCTTTGATGCACTGTTCCTTTTATTACTATGCATCAGCTTTTTAAAAAAAATCTCTTCTAATTTTGGTTTGAAAGCTACTTTATTAGATATAGGAATAGCTACACCATCTTATTTTCAGTTTCTGCTCACTTAATAGATTGTATTCCATCTTTTGACACTCTGTCTCTTTACTGGTACTTTCTTAGAGACTTCAGAAAGTTGTGTCTAATTTTTAAAATCCAGTTAGCTAGTCTATTTCTCTTTATTGGTGAGTTGAGGTCATTCACATTTAAGGTTATTACTAATTTTTCAGTGACAAAACACCATGACCAAGGCAATGTATTAAAGAGTTTACTGGGGCTTCCAGTTTCAGAGGGTGAGCCCATGACCAATACCACAGTGGGGAGCAGGCAGCCATGGTGCTAGAGCATAGGTACCTGGCAGAGAAAGCTAATGGAAAGGGCATAACTTTTTGAAACGTCAAAGCTTGCCCGCAGTGACACACCTCTTCTAACAAGCCCATACCTCCTAATCCTTCCCAAACAGTTCTCCCAACTGGGAACCAAGAATTCAAACATATGAGCCAATGGGGTTCCACTCTCATCCAAACCACCACAGCAAATTCCTATAATTTTATTGGTTTTCTGGTTCATTTACTTATTCTTTGTTCTTTGCTTTCTCACCACTATAAGGAATTTAATGGTTCACTGTGTTGGGAACAATGGATTCTTCAGCCATTCCTCTTATAAAATTTGATCTTTCCTGTGCTCTAATCATTAAGATTGTCTTTCTTAGTCCTGTAACACAATACTCCTTTAAATATCTTCTACAAAGTTGGCTTGATGGTCACAAGCTGCCTTAGCCTGTACTTGATTTGAAATATCCTTATTTCTCTGTAAAAATCCAAAGGTAGCTTTACTGGATATACCGCTCTTGATTGGCAGTTAGCTGCTGTCGGGGCTGGAAGTATAGCCTTCTGTGTTTTCCTGGCTTTGACGGTTTCTGACAAGCAATTCTGTTACTCTGATGTTTCTGCTCTTATGAGTTGGCATTTTCCCTTACAGTGTTGTGTATTGTTTCTTGGCTTTGTGTTCTTAACATCTTGAGCATGGTGTGTTGCTTTCTCTGGTCTCATCTGCTTAGGGTTCTAATGTCTCTTGTGTTTGAACATCTATTTCTCTACACTTGGGAACTTCTCTGCTATAGTTTCATGGAATAGGTTTTTCTACACACTGGTGTTTATTGCAGCTCCTTCCTCCCACCCGTGTAACGCCATCTGGCCTGGAACTCACTGTGCAGACCAGCATGGCCTCAGACTCGCCGAGATCTGCCTGCTTCTGCCTCTCAAATACACTGGTATTCCTGGCCCCACTGTTGTGTCACAGCTGCATCAACAAAAACCTACAAAAAGGTGTTTTATGCCAAGCCTGATGCCCTGATTGATCCCTGGACTGGCATGGTGGAAGGAGAGAACTGACTCCTCAAGTTGTCCTCTGGTTTCCACATGTGTGCACATACATTCAATAGATGAACACATTAATAAATAAGTTGTGTTATGTAGCAGTTTACTCCAAGATAAAACCTTCCAATTGGAGGGAAGCATGTGGAACTCACTGCACAACCGTCAGGAATTCAACAGGTTGGAGAATGCCTCTTTATAGGCAGCCCAGCTTGTGTGAGTTTCCTCTAGGCAGCTCAGCTTATCTGACTCCTCTAGACAGCTTCTTCAGGTTGATCTGAGAGTTCCCAGCTGTCCTCACCCTAAGCTTAGGGAGCAGAACACCTAGAGAATCTGGTAAGTGCTTAGGGAGCAGAACACCTAGAGAATCTGGTAAGCTTTGGGGGCTTCCTGCAGCTATTGAGTTATGTCCTGAGTGTGTTTGTGTGTGTGTGTGTGTGTAGGTAGGTTGGTAGGTATGTGCATGTAAGTTCAAGTGCCCAGAGGCTAAAGGAGTCAAAGCTCCTCCATCTGGAATTAAGGAAAATTGTGAGCCAGTGCCTGAGTTTTAACAGGCTGTGTAATAGCCCTGACTGTCCTGAAACTCACTTTGTAGACCAGGTTGGCCTCGAACTCACAGAGATCCACCTGTCTTTGTCTCCCGAGTGCTGGGGTTAAAGGCGAGCGCCACCACCAGCACCACAGCCTGTTGTACAAAAGAATTATTTCACAGCAGAGGTCCTTTGGCCAGGTTAATGAACTGACCCAAAAGGAATGTTAGGTCTCCACCCAGGATAACCATTCCATTACCTTCTGGCTTTCACCTTTGCTTCCATGAGGACAATCTAAGTTTTTTTTTTTTTTCCCATTGGTAACATACTTTCTCTCTGGCTATTTTAAGATCTTTCATTCTGTCCCTGACATTTCCCAGAAGGCATCATTGTGTCGCTTTCCTGCAGCCCACATCTTGGGCAGGCATCGGGAAGTGCTGCTATTTCTGCTAATTATGTCTGTAGGCCGGAGTTCCCACACCAAATTACCGATGCCTAGTGGCCACCCACATGGTTACCAAACACTCCAGTGTACCAGGGACTCTGGATTTCCTCAATCCAGGATGCGGGATGTTTAAAGACAAAGCTGGGGCACTATTGAACAAGCAAGGGCAGCCTACTGCCTTCCTTCGTATTACAGCCTTTCCCTCTGGAGCACACACATTCCTTGTGGGAGGCTGAGTAACTAGCAACCAGGTACAGCTTCACACCATGCCCGAAACTACTCCTGCAGCTCTGGGCTGGACACCCAGACTGACTTACTCGGTTATTCTTTCTTTCTCTGGGCAAGGCTGTCTCTGGAAACTTAATCTCTCCAAGAGCTCAACTTCTCTTTGAGTCTCCATCCCAGAATAGAAAAAAAAAATTCTTTACCACGGGACCTCTGCCTGTCATATACATCATGGATGTGGCTAGTTCCTACTCTGTAGTCCTGGAACCTTCAGGTAAAAAAAATGACTTCATAGGCCGGGCATGATGGTCTTTAATCCCAAGGCTCTGGAGGCAGAGTCAGGTAGGTCTCTGTGAGTTCGAGGCCAGCCTGGTCTGTAGTCTGTATAGTGAGTACCAGAGCAGCCAGGGCTATATAGTGAGACCCTGTTTCAAAAAGAAAAAAAAAAAAAAAAAAACAAAAAACCTTCTTCATAGACGCTCCGGGAATTGGTAAAGAAGGAGCATTGCATCTTACTGCCCTCCAGGGGTCAGTGTTTTCCTGACTTCACAAACTACTGTCTAGCATTTCTCCGAGCCGTGTGTGGTGGGTTAGTGTGTGTGTGTGTGTGTGTGTATACACATGAATAGAGGCTTTCCCACAAGTACACATTTTTCTTTCTCTTCTGCATGTAGAAGAACAGTCCTCCAGAACGTACATTTATACGTATCTTATTTTGGTCGAGTTTGCCAATTTGTTTATTCGGTTGTTGCGAGGCTTCACTCCAGAGCCCATGCTGGCTTCCCACTTGGGATCCTCCCGTTTCAATCGGTGTTAGAAGAATATGCCCTTATGTGCCCTGTAAGACATTGATTTATCTGAACTTTTTTACTAAGTTGCCCTGCTTTTCCCTCTCTATGCTAACGTTTTCATCCTCAGGATCATCATTAACTGGGCGAGTAAAGACACGTCAGGCATCGGGGTTCCATGAAGATTCTAAGTGTAGCGACACACTAGAAACACGGGATAACAACTCTCTGGGAGAAAACATCCGGGAGGCGGAGGAAGCAACAGTGGAAACAACCGAAACCTATAGGCAGTGGGATCAGCAAGGGTTCCGGTACTGAATGGGCGCAGTGACTTACTATAAACCCTGGCTTGACAGGATTACACCCGGGCTGCGTGTCATTGCTTCCTCCGCCTTAAACTTGATTTATAAACTGCGGCCACAGCTTCTTTCCCTAAAACCTGCTGCTCCGCTTCAGCGTCCAGCCTGGAAAGCTTCCTACTACGCCCCGTTCCTATCCAACTTCCTGGTATTCTTGGATCCAGCCTCATCTATGTTAAGCAATCATTGTTATCCCCATGAAAAAAGCCGAACGCTTGTGGAATTATGAAGTCAAATGAGCTCCAGCACTAGTTTTTCCAGTTACTAGCCGGGCGTGCTTCCTTGGCCTGACTTAAGAGTTTAAGAAATGCCTGCTGCTTTTGGCTCTAGGTTGTATTTCCAGCACTGGGGGAGGGGAGCTCGCCTCCACGTTCCGTATTTGTGCAGATTCCCACCCAAAGACGCCAGATCCCCTTAGATTATAGAATGCAAGGGAGAGCTACACTTCATTTTTAGGTTTACGAGTATGTTTTGGCCAGTTTGTATGTATAGCGCCTGCACTCAGCGCTCTCGGAGATCCGAGGAGTGTCAGATACCCTGGGGCTGCTGTTGGGGAAGGTTGTTCGGATCCTCTGTAAGAGCAACAAGTGCTCTTAACAGACAAGCGATCTTTCCAGACAGCCTACAAATTTTAACGTGCTCTGATCGGGGAAGCTGCAAGGCTCCTTCCCGGCCACCACAAACCCCCTCTGCGCGAATGCACCTTAGCCAGTCCACCCGACAGAAGCACTCGTGGACCGAGGCTGACGTCCGCGGACCCTCCCCTCTGCAGCGCACGCATCACCCAAAGGGGCCAGGAGATCCAGGGTGGTTAGCCACGCCCCGCGCAGGCCTGGCGGGGGTGGGGGAGGGCCTTCCTGGGTAGACGCATGCGCACTCCTTCCTCTTCCTCTCCCCTTGCAGGCACACCTTCGCGTTTTTGACTGCTAGCCTTTTTTGTCCCCTACTGCGTGCGGTGTAAGCTTCTCCGCGGAAGTCCCAGCTGCCAGGGAAGAAGATGGCAGCCACTGCGACGCCACCTGGGACTGCGGCCGCCCGAGCGAACAAGCGCGGCGGCGGCGGCCAGGGCGGAGGAGGAACCCAGGGTACGGAGGAGGAGCCGCCGCCGCCCCTCCAGGCCGTTCTAGTGGCGGATAGCTTCAACCGCCGCTTCTTCCCCATCTCCAAGGACCAGCCTCGGGTGAGCGCCCGACACGCGAGCAGCCCGCTGGCCTGGAGGGTGGCGGGGCTGCACGAGGTTGCCACTGAGGCTGTTAGTGAAGGGTGCTCTGAAAGTTACCCTAAAGTCGGATTTATCTGGTTGGGGTAAGGTGGAGGGATTGACTGTTTGACCAGGAGTGGCTTCCAAAGGTGGGTTCTCGCAGGGCTGTCCACCTAGCTTTAGGAGAGAAACGGAGAGGGCTGCATGTGGGAACTGAGCTTAACGGAGCCTTCCTAAGGGGGATTTGCTAGCACAAGAGGGCTCTCCGCTGCCCTTAACCTTGCCAGAGAGATGGGCAGTTAAAGAAATAGCTTCGGAAATGGCGATAGTACTATACCAAAAAGAAAAAGACTGGATCTCGGGCTGGTGCGTGCTTTTCTTTCCTTCCATCTGCTAGAACGACGACCGAACCGGTTGCCTTCACCCTCAGAATTGCCTTACTGCTTAGGGTTCTGGAGCTATGATTTAGGGTCAACATTGATCCTTCACTAGCACTGGTCTCCCTATAACATGTCTGTGTCTGATAGCCATGCCTAGTAAACCCAAATCCCAGTACCTTAGACTAAACCTTAGAGCATCCCATGAATAGCACAAGCAGGAACCTGGTACTTTAGAATTGAGAGATAAACTGTAGTGTCTGGAAACGCTGCTAGAAGGAGCATTGTTGCAGTGGGGTACCCAAAGTTTACTCAGATTAAGACCTCAGACTTTTTCATATCCTGCCCCATAGGTCCTCTTGCCCCTGGCCAATGTGGCGCTAATCGACTACACTCTGGAATTCCTGACCGCCACCGGTGTGCAGGAAACCTTTGTCTTTTGCTGCTGGAAGGCTTCTCAGATCAAGGAACACTTATCGTAAGGCCCCACACCTTTTCCTTTCCACGTTTCACCTTCCCAGATTTTCTTTTTCTCAGGACGGTTATGACAAAGTTAAGACGTGCCAGGAAAAAACTGTTCAGGTCTGATGTAAGGTTTAGTGTTTCCGTTCCTTTTCCTGAGGCAGGCTGCTGGGCACGCTCTGCTCTGGGGTTCCATTGTGTAATGGCTGAGGTGATTTCTGAGTCTTACAAAGTTTGGTCCTGTGAGTTTTGCTTTTTATTTGTTGGTTCCAGTGTCTGTTACTAGAAGAGCATCTTTATCTTTCCAACAAATTTGCAAATACTGTCTGTTCTGACCCCAAGGACAAGAGCAAGCTCTTTGCCTGGTGGTGATAATGCATGCCTTTAATGCCAGCCCTCTGGAGGCAGGCATATCTCTGTGAGTTTAAGGCCAGCTTGGTCTACGGAGCAAGTTACAAGGCAGGTTCCAAAGCTACAGAGAAGCCCTGTCTTGAAAAACCAAAAAAAAAAGAGGAAAATTGGGAGAGTGAGTCTGGTAATTTATGAGTTTGGAAAAGAAAGACTAATACATTAGCAGGTTTTTCGTGATACAGTGTTTAAATTTGTTATGGACTTCAGAACAAGAAAAATGACATTAAAAAATGTGTTTCCAGAATACTTTCATACCCTAGATTTCAGCAAAGTTTTGAATTCAAACTCATATTTGAAGATGGGAAGATGGGAGTCGCGGTATAGAAAGGAAGTAGCCATATTTCTCTAGCACATAAAACTAATGACACTGGGTGCTGAGACCATTCATTATAGTTTATAAGTCTCTTTGAAGCCTAGGACGCTGGCAGGAACCCAGAGAAGCCACAGAGACCTTTGAATGCTAAAGGGAGGTCGAAAATCAGGTCGGTGATCATTTGCTTAATTTGCCATCCTCTCCCCACCCTTGCTGTAGGAAATCCAAGTGGTGCCATCCTACATCCCCCAACGTTGTCCGAATAATTATATCAGACCTGTACCGATCACTAGGAGATGTCCTCCGTGATGTAGATGCAAAGGCCTTGGTGCGCTCTGACTTCCTTCTGATATATGGAGATGTCGTCTCAAATATCAACATTACCAAAGCCCTAGAGGAACACAGGTCAGGGTGGGGAAGATGGCAGGGACAAGACTTAGGGACCAGCGGAGCCCTAAGACCACTCTGCCTCACGTTCTCTATAGGTTGAGACGCAAGCTAGAAAAGAATGTGTCCGTGATGACGATGATCTTCAAAGAGTCATCGCCCAGCCACCCGACACGCTGCCACGAGGACAATGTGGTGGTGGCTGTGGACAGTGCCACCAACCGAATCCTGCATTTCCAGAAGACCCAAGGCCTGCGGCGGTTTTCGTTTCCCTTGGTGAGTGAGTATCCGGGGGACTGTGGGGAGGAGGGGCTGAGAGTCTCGAAGGAGGAAGTTAGAGCATCTGTGGCCTCTCCTGCAGAACCTGTTCCAGGGCAGTGGAGACGGAGTGGAGATTCGCTATGACTTACTGGACTGTCACATCAGCATCTGCTCTCCTCAGGTGAGCTCTCCAGAGCAAGGGCTGTGCAGAGAGTAGAGCTCTAGGGCAATAGGTTGTAGCTTCTCCCTCTTTTCTTGCCTGTTGTAAAGAGGTGCTGTTACCTCATTCCCAGTATATTGGGAACCGAGTCCAGGGTTTTTTTCCATAGCCCATTATTATGGGTTGGCAGACCTCTGGGACTTAATCTTTGTTTCCTGGTAAAGTATTTAACCTTAGCACTCCCTGTTCCCCCCACAGGTAGCTCAACTCTTCACAGACAACTTTGACTATCAAACTCGAGACGATTTTGTGCGAGGCCTGTTAGTGAATGAGGAGGTGAGAAACAGCGTCCGAAACCTCTCGAGGAAGGGGTTCTCTTGCTCTGCTGACCTTTGGTTCCCTTTTGTCCCATTAAACCTTCAGAGGGAGGATGGGGGCTAGAAAGCCAGGAGACACTTGGGCCGTCGCTGAGAGGCAGCGAGGCACGGAGAAGGCGTCAAGGGTTCTGCTTTGGGACTGTCTTCCTGTCTTGCTTGACTGGGTGATCTCCCTTTCTCTTCCTTTAGGTCCTCGGGAACCAGATCCACTTGCATGTGACAACTAGGGAGTATGGTGCCCGAGTCTCCAACCTACACATGTACTCAGCCGTTTGTGCTGACGTCATCCGCCGATGGGTCTACCCTCTCACTCCAGAAGTGAACTTCACTGACAGCACCACACAGAGCTACACTCATTCCCGACACAACATCTACCGAGGGCCTCAAGTCAGCCTGGGCCACGGCAGTGTCCTGGAGGAGAATGTGCTTCTGGGAGCTGGCACTGTCATCGGCAGCAACTGCTCCATCACCAACAGTGTCATTGGCCCTAACTGCCACATTGGTGAGCACAGGTGGGGACTCCAGCAGCAGGCCCACAGATACGGGGCTGGAGCGTGTCTCTAAAGCTAGGGAGGATACCAAGGGGTAGTCCTGTGAATAAGGAACCAGAGTGACTATCTAAGAAAGGAGGGAGTCTGGGGCGGTGACTCCCTGGTTAAGAGCACTTGTTGCTCAGGTTTGGTTCCCAGTACTCCTACGGTGGTTCGCAACCATCCGTAACAGCAGTTTGTGGGAATCCAGTGACCTCTTCTGACCTCCTCAGGCACCTAATGCACATGTGGTACACATACATACATGTAGGCAAAATTAAATTAATATATCTCGAGGGTGGGGTGGGGGGAAAAAGAAGGTGAGTCCTTGTGCTTGTTGGCACACATTTTGGGTTGGTTTGGTTTGGTTTGGCTTTTTGGATTTTTTCGAAACAATTTCTCTGTGTAACTTTTTTTTTTTTTTTTTTTTTTTTGGTTTTTCGAGACAGGGTTTCTCTGTGGCTTTGGAGCCTGTCCTGGCACTAGCTCTGTAGACCAGGCTGGTCTCGAACTCACAGAGATCCGCCTGCCTTTGCCTCCCGAGTGCTAGGATTAAAGGCGTGCGCCACCATCGCCCGGCTCTCTGTGTAACTATTATGGCCATCCTGGAACTCACTCTGTAGACCAGGATGGCATTGAACTCACGGAAATCCACCTTCTCTGCTTCTCAAATGCTGGGATTAAAGGCATGCATGAGACACTACCGCCCAGCGGCACACACCTTTTTTTCATTTTTCTAGACAGCTGACCTTGAGTTTTTAGGGACCCACCTGCTTCCATTTCCCAAGTGTTGGGATTAAAGTCATGAGCCACCTCACATTTACAATCCCAACACCTGGGAGATGGAGGCAGGAGGATTAAAAGTTTGAGGCCAGCCTGGAACTATATATTGAAACCTGTATTTAAGAAGGCAGGAGGGCAGAAGGAAGGAAGTTGTGTATAATCTCATATACTCCAGCAGGATAACTTGAGTCAGGGCTTTGAGGCCAGCTTGGGCAACAACACACTGAGACCCATCTCAAAAACAAACAACAACAACAACAAAGAAAAAAGAAAAGGGCACATAGGAGAGAATAAGATTTCTTATGTGACTTTGAGCGGGGGCAGGGTCATCCTGGAATTCTGTAAACCAGGCCAGCCTCTGCCCCAGGTGCTGGGATTAAAGGCTTATGCTACCACCACCCAGCTCTAGTGTGGTTCTTAAGATGACTTCATTCTGGAATGTCCTCTCCTGTGTTCACATTTGGAACCAAGTGAACGTGTACTAATAACCTCTGTTTAACCATTACAGTTTGCTAGTTCTCTAACCCTCAGAGGTTGTCTTTCCCGGGTACCATCTAATGGGAGACAATGCTGAGTATTCTGGTTGGGCTCACGGTGTTCTTTTTGCTCTCCCACAATGTGGCTTTCCTCTTGACAACTCACTTTGTTTGAAGAATATGAGACCAGAATAATGCTAGCCTTTTGAATCCAATAGTAGGATCCAAATTCTGTAATACACAGAGAGATGGAGTAATTTGATTCTCCTTGCAGACGTGGACTTTACTGTAATAAGGTTTATAGTTCATTCTGAGAAATCCTGAAGGTTCTTAGGTTAAGCCGTGTGTACAGTGTAAAATTATTGTAAACTTGGTAGAGGATGGTCAGTTTGCTCTCAAGACTGACCTGGGAAAGGACTGGATGCTTCTGACGTTGGCAGGTGAATATCAGAATTAGGTGGGAGCTGGGGCTGGTGTCAATAAGCCTGTCCTCCATGAAGGACTCTGTTTTGGAGGTGGAGCCCTGAGTGACCAGGAGTCCTCCTCATTCTGAGCCAGGTGATAATGTGGTGCTGAACCAGGCCTACCTGTGGCAGGGAGTTCGAGTGGCTGCTGGATCACAAATACACCAGTCTCTGCTCTGTGACAAAGCTGAAGTCAAGGAACGAGTTACTCTGAAGCCACACTGTGTCCTTACTTCCCAGGTAAGACCTGTTCCAGAGTATGCACAGTCCCTGAATTGAACGGAGATTGTGCCAAGTCAGGCGGACCATATTCCCCTATCAGTAAGGACCCAAGTGAGGACCCAAGTTTCTTTGACCTTCTACTTAGCTTAGTATAAAACCAAAAACCATTATTCTGATTGTCAAAGTATAGTAAGTCTGTGCCACTTGGTCCTTCTTTTTCTCTCTTAGGTGGTTGTGGGCCCAGATATCATGCTGCCTGAGGGCTCGGTGATCTCTTTGCACCCTCCGGATGCAGAGGAAGATGAAGATGATGGCCAGTTTAGTGATGATTCTGGGGCTAATCAGGAAAAGGAGAAAGTGAAGCTGAAAGGTGTGAGACTCAGCAGGTGTGGGGCGTCTGTGCATCTCCGCCCCATGGAGAAGTCTGTTTCTTTCCAGAGAAATCGATGCTGCTGCCGGCCTTCTCAAAAGATCAATGCCTTTTCCAGGTTACAATCCAGCAGAAGTAGGCTTTGAAGGCCAGGGATACCTCTGGAAAGCTGCAGATGTGAACACAACGGAAGAGGAGGAACTAGGGCAGAGTCTGTGGGGTGAGCTAGACCTTACACCTGCCTGCCTTCTACTTAATCTGAGTAGTTTTAAGAACTTTGAATGCCTTGGTATCTGATTTTTATTGGGGCCTAAATTCATACTGACAGGACACAATGTATACTGTCTGTCAGCGTTTCGGTCTGGTCTTACTTTTTTAACTTTGTGTGTGTGCATGCATGTGTACATGCGTGTTTTATGTATGCATGTGCCATGTCAGGAGAGTAGAGATGAAAGGACCACTTACTGGAATTGGTTCTCTCCTTCCACCATGTGGTTCCTGAGAATTGACAGTGTGTGTCTTTAAATGCTGAGCTATATAACCGCTTCCCCTCCTCTACCCATCCCCTTTTCAAAGGCTAGGCTCTCTGTAACCCAGGCAGCTGAGAAAGCCCTTGAGCTTCCTGACCCTCCATTTCCTCAATGCTGATGTTACATAGCACACCTGGTTTTGTTGATTCCAGGTTCCCCCAGCTGAACTGTATCTGTGGCTCCTCTTCTTTGTTTTTAGGACTCACCATCAATATGGAAGAGGAAAGTGAGACTGAGAGTGAGCGAAGTATGGACTCTGAGGAACTGGACAGCCGGGCTGGGTCCCCTCAACTGGATGACGTCAAAGGTGCGTACAAAGTGGGGAGTTTATTCTTTGCTGTCTCAGCAGCCAACGGCTTGTGTCTGCTGTGGTCACACTAGCTGACTTAAAGCCTTTGGAAAGGTGACTCTCTTTCCTTTCAGTCTTCCAGAATGAGGTCCTGGGAACACTGCAGCGAGGCAAAGAGGAGAATATTTCCTGTGACAATCTAGTCCTGGAGATCAACTCTCTCAAGTAAGAGTAACTCCGTCCTGTTTCCTCTCCGGGCTTCTCCAGGAACAAAGATGTTCTCTCCACGTTGTTTCTTCCAGAGTAGGAGACTGGATAGGAGAAGGCTAGGAGCGTTTGGAGCATGGAGAGCACTAGCATCCAGCCTGCCTCAGCAGGTTTCCTCTCCTCCAGGGTACTGCCACAACCTTCTGTCTTAGAGCTGAGCGGCTGTGAACCCTGGAGCCATGCTGTGGTAACTGTTTCTGCTGCAACAAAATGCCCGGAGAAAGCAACTTAGGGAAGGAGTGGTTTGCTTGGGCTTACAGTTTGAGGATATAGTTCTGGCAGGATCTGGAAGCAGCGGGTCACATGGCATCTGCAGCAAAGCAGCGAGTGAAAGCTGGTGCCGCCCACACCTGGGATGTGTCCTTCCTCGTGTCCAGAGACTCGTCTGCTAGCATGAGTCCAGGTTCTGTCAGGTGTTCCATCACCAGTAACCATAACACGTGTGTCTCCCCACAGGTATGCCTACAACATTAGCCTGAAGGAAGTGATGCAGGTCCTGAGTCATGTAGTCCTGGAGTTCCCCCTGCAGCAAATGGACTCCCTGTTTGACCCAAACCGCTACTGTGCCATGCTGCTTCCTGTAAGCAAAGACTGAGGCCAGGTGCAAGGGGTTGAGTGGAGGCAGCCAAACATCTTTGCAGTGCTGTCTTAAAAGGAAATTAGGAGTCAGTGGGCTTGCTATGGAGTTTCTGTGTTCATTCAACTTGCCTTTGGAAAGTGGTTGGTTTTTAGAGCGGCAGTAGTGGGTCCTGGGTCCAGTAATATTTAATACTGAATGGTCTTTAAGACTCCAGGATTGAGGGCATTCCAGGCCCCCAAAGGGACATTCAGAAATAGTACTGGAAATCAGGTATTATGGAATATATCTGTAGTTTAACTCTTCAAGGGAGTTAAGGCAAAAGAATCAGTGGAGCCTAGCCAGAGTAACACAGCAAAAGTCCATCTAAAGGCTAAACAAAGTCTAGAACAACATGGAGAATAGACCTGCTGTTACTGAGCCCACAATGATTTGATCCAGAACAAGATTAATCCTGGCTGGGGTTAGGGATTTTCAGTCAGTCAGTAGCATCTCTCTGACCCACTTTTCCCTTCCCTGAGAAATCTCATCCTTCCCAACCTTTTGTCGGAACAGTTCCTGAATACCTCTTACGTGATTTCATACTGCCTGCATCACCTCCCTCTTGTCCTTCCGTGTCTTCAGTATTGATGGCCTTTGCTGTTGAGCTTCAGGAGCATGCTAAGGAATTCCTGCAGCATATCACAGTTCCATTTCCGCCTTCCCCTCCTTTCCCCATAGCTGCTCAAAGCCTGGAGCCCTGTTTTTAAGAACTACATAAAGCGAGCAGCTGACCATTTGGAAGCACTGGCAGCCATTGAGGACTTCTTCTTGGAGCATGAAGCTCTTGTCACTTCCATGGCCAAGGTGAACACCATCTCACACTTCCGTGTCCTGCATGTGCATTGACGCACGCCTTCATGAACCCCCCAGAAACACAAAACTAAGGTTAACTTTTGCCTAGCTTGAAGCTTGTTCACCACACTGGCATGCTTACTGCTAGAGTAATGCAGCGCAGAGCCAGGCTGGTGCTGGTGAGGCAGCCATTGAGACTGACCACCATTCAGCAGGAGGTCCACAAGTCCTGCCTGTCTCAGTATCAAAAAGAGTGGTTCACTCTTGCCTTTGGGGGGTAATGATGGTGGTTTGACTTGGTTTGTATGTGTTTGTTTTCCTCAAACTGGCCTTAAACTTGTGGTGCAGTTGAGTTTGGATTCTTGATCCTCCTGCCTCTCTACCCTCACCCTACCCCCTCCACCCCTGTGTTGGCATTACAATACCACTCTGCCACTCTCTTGTCCGTTTTGAAGAGGCTTCTTGGTTTGTGCAAGGAAGCTTAGAGCTGGAGGAGCCTTTATTGTTATTATATCCTTGCTAGGTCCAAGAGACCCTAAGAGTCCCCCTTTGACTTTATGTAGGTTCTGATGGCTTTTTATCAGCTGGAGATCTTGGCTGAGGAAACAATCTTGAACTGGTTCAGTCAAAGAGACATAACTGACAAAGGCCAGCAGTTGCGCAAGAATGGACAGGTATGTTATGCTCCTTGGATGCTCTAGTCCTCCACCTTAAACTCTAGGGACTTTGTGGTCAGAGCTGTTTATCCAATACCAAGCTCAGGGGCATACATGTATCCCCTAACAGCTCTCCCTTCTGCTTCCTTGCAGCTGCAGAGGTTCATCCAGTGGCTGAAAGAGGCAGAAGAGGAGTCATCTGAAGATGATTGATGGGGACTGCCGGCTCCTGTGCTGTGTTATTTATTGGTTGCCCTCCTAACAGATAGGGCAGAACAAGAAAACTAGCTACGGAAGTGTGAATGGCCACTCCAGACAGACTTGATGGAGCAGAAGTTGCAACTACAGTATTCCTACTGCTGGCAACCATGTGCGTCCCATCCTGACTGAAGTTGGGAACGGGAGGTTAGACTGAAACAAAACTCTAGGGAAAAATCTAGACAGACCCTGCAGTTGGAGGTAGACCAGACCAAGCGCTTTGTTCTCCATCTTTCCCTCAGGGAACAGTAAAGAGCAGCTGGCCCTCTCTGTTACTTGTATTTGTTAATATTAAAAAGAGGGGTGTATTGGACTTCTCACCAACTCTGCCTGATCAGCCAGGAGAGAACGTATATGATCTGACTTAGCTGCTGTTAGCCAACACCTGGAGGGCGGGGAGAAAGGTTGTGGTGGCCACAAGGTGGTGCTATGCTACCTGACTAATTCCACTCCCCTGGCTCACAGGAAGTGGATGGCTGAGCTTCCTTCCCAAGCTCCATAGACCCGGCTGGTCTGGAGTGTTGTGACAGAGCCTATTTCCATAGCCTTTCCTGGTGTGGACAAGCTCCACCTGAAGGTGATGGTGCCAGGCATATGTGAAGCCATCTGCCACTAGCCCTTTCCAGTGGACCCAGTACTGGTTCTGTCAGAGATACTGGGCCACGTTCATCTTAAAAGATAAGGAAATCCACTGGATGTAGGAGCACAGGCCATTAATCCCAGCACCATGGAGGCAGAGGTTCAAGGCCAGCAGAGCTGTTCTGCGGAGAAACCCTGGGGTCAGTGGGAAAGTAAGGAAACCCACCTAAGATGGTTTTGAACCTTGCAGGACATAACTACATACTTTAACCTTATTATCCAGAATTCTGTCTGCTTCAGTGAAGTGCAAACTGTCCCAGAAGCAAATGAAACCTAAAGCCAGAGTGGACATGCTAAGAACATAGAAGTTCCTGTAAAGTATGCTTTTGCTTATGCTGAGTTTAATGTGTGGCAGGAATTCTAACTATTCATGTGCTGTTTCACTTGACCTTTGCCATCCACCCTGTGAAGTAGCTCTTGTCATTTTCTGATGAGCTGCCTGCAGCTCAGAGAGGCCTCTGACCTTAGAACTGGAGTTTGTCATTGTGTTATGCAGCTCCTGTAACTCAGCACTCTCCTGTTGTGAGGTCTTTGTTGCCTTCATATAGGGTGAGTCATTAAGTTTCTCTTGACATTAACCTATAGTAAATGTCACACACTTGGCATCATAGGCAAAATAGGCGCCTTTGTTTCAGTTGAGTGGAAAGGAATAAGCTAAACAGGGCTATTGAACTCTACTTACGGGTGAAGAGGCATTTTTGAAAAGGAAGAACAAAAAGATCTTGGCATAGTAGCAACGCTTGTCAGCACTTGGAAAGTGGAAGCCAGCCGTTCAAGAGTCCCAGGCTCGCCTGGGCTATGGTTCAGGATCCAGTGTCTGGAGAGAGCATACAGAGATGATGGCCTGTACCTGTGGGACAGTTAAGAAGCTATAAGACATCTTGATCTTGGCTAGGTGGTGGTGGTCAGCACTCGGGAGGCAGAGGCAGGTGGATCTCTCTGAATTCAAGGTCAGCCTGGTCTACAGAGCCACGAAGGCTCAAAACCTACACAGAAACGCTGTCTCAAAAACAAACAAACAAAAAGACATCTTTATCTGTTCAGATAGTGCACAGATCAGAATTGACAGAACTTTAAGAAGGGATTTTTCTATTGGGGTAACAGAGGAGACTTCACCAAACTGCGTTGGTTAAAGTCGGCTCAGGAAGGAAGTAAAGCCAGAGCGCCTCCAAAGCAGAGACCTCTGAGCCCTGGGGGAGAGGTAGGAAGGGGGAGAACGGGAGAATTAGATATGAGGGCTAGAGAGATGCTTCAGTGGATAAGAACTCTTGTCCTCAGGACCCAGGTTTAACTCCCAGCACCCACTGAGCATAACTCCAGTTCAGGATGCACACGGTACATAGACGTACATGTGAGCAAAGCACTCATTCACATAAATCTAAAGATTAAAACTTCATGGGATAATAAAAGGTGGTCTAGAGTAGATGATTCTTCTTGCTGGTGTAGAGTTATTAACAAGCCAGTGTAAGGTCTAGCATAGTGGTTCTCAAACTTCTGTACCGCGACCCTTTAATACAGTTGCTTACAGGGTGACCCTCAGACATAAAATTGTATTGGTTGCTACTTCATAGTTGTAAATTTTCCTAGTGTTGCAAATTGTAATGTAAATATCTGTGTTTTCTGATGATTTTAGGCGACAAAGGTTGTTTGATTCCACCCAAAGTGGTTCTCTACCCACAGGTTGAGAACTGCTGGTCTAGAGTCTTAGGGGAAGGTAAAGGGTTAGAGGCACGGAACAAGGAGCTCACGGAAACCCCTGCACACATACCATCGCCACTTACAGACCGACCAGGGGACTGCTTCTTCTCTGCAAGAAATAATTAAGTCTGCGAGCAATGGTAGGGAGAAGTCACCAAAGAAAAATGCTAAGAAGGTCATGAAACCAGGCAGGGGCATGACTGTTGTCTCAAGATCTGTGTAGACGTTACTGTGGTAATGGAGCACTTGGGAGGTGAAGGTAGGAGAAGGGAGGTCAGGAACTAGTGATCATCCTCAGTCATAAGCCAGTTTGAGGTCAGTCCAGGCTGCCACGCCTTCTCTCAGACAAAAAGTCACAGGTTTCCAGACCAGAGTCTGGGCTCCCAGCACAATAAGTCCCATGGGATTTCAAGATGTCAGACTCGACTCCATCAGAAATGTGGTTGGGATGGGGTATTAAGTCGTCTAAGGAGTGAAGGGAAAACTATGTGAGTGCTGGAACCTTGCATCCACACATTTACTTGAACCCCCCTAGACGAAAACAACTACAGGGAGGAAAAATTGGCCTTTGAATGTTGACACTTTCCTTGACCTTCCCAAAGAAAGACTTCCTCTGCTTTACCATTCTGCAGTGAGACTTAATAGTGCCCCTTGCACATAGAGCTCCAACCTGCATTTTTGTGCCCTGCATGCAGTAAAAGCCAAGGCTCAAACATTTGAAGAACCCTCCAGCATGAGAAGCAGAAACAAAGCACTAAGAGATACAAAGAAGCTCTACTAAAGTAGGATATTCCAAAAATATTAAGGGCAGAAAGCTATAATTAGGATTATGAAAACTCAGGGAAAATACCGCGTCCATAAAGAAAACTCACAGGGGGAGAACTGAAGAATAAAAGAGTTCTTAGAACTTCTGAGGGGTGGCAAGATGACTGAGCAGGTAAAAGCACTTGCCACACAAGCCTGCTGACCTGAGTTCAGGGAAAAGTTCAATCCCCATAATGGAAGGTGAGAAATGGCTCCTGAAGGTTGCTGGCTGCCACATACTTGCGCAACTGCAGTGATGACAGAAACAGCTTAAAGTGGCTGTAATAAGAATTCAGAGAGCAAGAAAAAAGGTTAGTATAGTATCCATTCAGATGTTGATTTCTAGGTATTCCAAATGCTGGCACAGTGCATGAGAAAAGATATCCATGAAGCAAAGCCAATACATACCTCTACTCCCAGCTTATCAGACACTGAGCCAGAATGGTTTGAGCCCAGGAATAAAAAACCGGCCTGGGCAACACAGGCACAGAAATAAAAAGAATGCCCCAAAGCCTTCTAGAAAGAAGCCAAGTCTTGAAATGATACCAAATCAACCCCTTATTAATGAAAGGAGAAAACAAATGCCTTCAAAAATCTGAAGGGAAGGAGCTGGAGAGATGGCTCAGTGGTTAAGAGCATTGCCTGCTCTTCCAAAGGTCCTGAGTTCAATTCCCAGCAACCACATGGTGGCTCACAACCATCTGTAATGATGTCTGGCGCCCTCTTCTGGCCTGCAGACATACACACAGAATATTGTATACATAATAAATAAAAAAAATCTGAAGGGAAATTATTTTCAGCTCTTTGTTTTGTTTTTAATTATTTTGCATGTGTGGAGGTGTTGGGGAGCACACACATGCTAATGTGTCTATGGAAGTCAGGTTTTCAGGACTTAGTCCTTCCACCGTGTGGATGCAGGGGATCAAACTCAGACTGTCTAGATGGCCTGTGCACTGAGCCACTGTGCCAGTCCTCAGTCATATGTGAGACAGACAGCTTAAAAACAGTCTGGGCGGGGCTGGAGAGTTGGCTCAGTGGTTAAGAGCATTGCCTGCTCTTCCAAAGGTCTGGAGTTCAATTCCCAGCAACCACATGGTAGCTCACAACCATCTGTAAAGAGGTCTGGCGCCCTCTTCTGGCCTTCAGACATACAGACAGAATATTGTATACATAATAAATAAATAATAAATAAAATTAAAAAAAAAACAGTCTGGGCTTTAGGGGTAGAAATCTCGCCTACATTCACAGTACCCTAAAATGAGGTGGGGGCACAAGCCTGTGATCCTAGGCAGGACTTCCAGTTTAAGGCTAGTCTGAGCTGCATGCATTCCCAGCCAAAGACACCTGGCCTTAGAAGAAAAAAAAACCAAAATTATATTTTTCATCCTTCCTTTCAAAGAGACTTGTCAAAGGATGCAATAAGCTTGACTAAAACAGGAATAAAGTATCCAAGAAACAACCAGATTGGAGGAGACGTACAGGGAATTCTGGGGCTATTGAAAAGTCGCCAGGTGACAGCTGACAGATGGCGTCAGCAAGCAATGTTCACCAGAGCGAAAGAAGGGAAAGTTGCAGAGACAAGCAAGCCTGGATTACCTAATAGATTGGACTGGATGGACAAAATGTCCTGAGAAACTCCTGGGTTGTATACAAACCATGTAGCAAAGAAACAAGGAATACACAAGACTTAGAAGTATACGTTCACTGATAGTTAAAACACTGTTAAGTATTAAGTATTATCTAGTTAGCAAGTATGATTTCAGTTTTAAGAAGTAAAAGGTGGGATGTAAGTATTATCTAGTTAGCATGTATGATTTCAGTTTTAAGAAGTAAAAGGTGGGATGTCAACAGGCGATGTCTAGAATGTGTAAATCAAGAAATAGGCATGTAACATGCCTGTAACCCCAGCCACTCCAGAAGCATAGGCAGAAGAGTAGAAAGTTCAAAGCCATCCTGAGCTTTTATTTTTAATACTGGGGCTGGAGAAATGACTCAACTGTTAAGAGGCTTGCTGCACTTACAGAGGACCTGAGTTCAATTCCCAGCATCTACCTCATCGATGGGTGGCTCACAGCTTCCTGTAATTCTAACTCCAAGAGATTGACACCCTCTTCTGACCAACTCAGATACCTATAATGTGTGTACATACACACACACACACACACACACACACATATATATATATATAAATCCTGCCAGGCAGTGGTGGTGTGTAACTTTAATTCCAGCACTCCAAGAGGCAGAGGCAGGACAGTCTCTGAGTTTGAGGCCAGTCTGGTCTACAGAGTTCCCACAACAGCCAATGCTACACAGAGAAACCCTGTCTTGAAATTTTAAATAAATACATTGTAGCATGCTTTTTCAGACTGCCAGCCCCAAAATGATGACACAGAGACTTATTAGTTATGAATGCTGGGCTTTATCTTATGCTTGTTCCACAAGCTTTTCTTAGTTTAACCTGTTTCTATTCATCTACATTTTGCCTCAGGGCTTTTTACCTTACTCTTATTCTGTATGTCCTGCTTCATGTCTGTCTGACTGTCAGCTGCCTGCCTGACTGGCCCTGGGTGTCTCCCTCTCCCTCATTCTCCTTATTCTTTGCCTGCTAGCACCACCTGTCCCTGTACTACCAAGCTATTAGCCACTTAGCTTTTTATTAGATCAATCAGAAGCCTTTGGCAGGCAAAGCAACACATCTTTACATTGTTAAAAGCAGCATAAACAAATGTAACATCTTTACATGGTTAAACAAATGTAAAACATCCTTACATCCTTAAATGCAACATAAACAAATATAACATCTTGCCTAAAGTAATGTTCCAGAACAATAAATATTGAAAACAAGTTTTAATATTGCTTAGTTATGAATACTCATTTCTTAGAGAAAAAGATTAAGTGAAGGATAGGAATTTAAAACATGTTATATAACTGCTATTGATTATGTTCTTTTGCCCATAACCAAACGTTTGGTTATGATATAATGAGAAAGACTATAGAGGAAGATTGACATTAGATTGTGAAGGGCCTTGTGTATCATGTGGAGGGCGCTTGAAAGGTGATATGAAGGGGTTTCTCAGCAGAGGAGGTCCTGACATTTCAGGTAATAAAAATAGGAGCCAAAATGCAGACATGATAGCACATGGTAATCCCAGAACTCTGAAGTTTCTAAGCCACTCTGGTATACATTGTTACAAATGTATACCACAGAGAAGCTGAACCACAGACTGGCTGAACCTAGTTCTGGTTTGACACCTACTGTCCCAGTCATGCACATGCATGTTTGCGCCCCTTTTTCTCTATTTTTTTTCATAGGGGGGGGGATGCTATATTTCGAGACTGGGTTTCTCTGTGTATCCCTGGCTGTCCTGGAACTTGCTCCATAGACTAGGCTAGCCTAGAACTCAGAGATCTGACTAAAGGTGTATGCACCAAGCCTGGCTATTTGCACTTTTGCTTTTATTTCTTATTTTCTTCTTTTTTTTTTTCTTTTTTTTTGTCGGGGGCAGGGTGGGATGGAATTTTAGAGACAGGGTTTCTTTGTGTAGCTTTGGCTGTCCTAGAACTGGGTCTGTAAACGAATCTGGCCTCGAATTCAGAGATCCACCTGCCTCTCCTGAGTTCTGGGATTGAAGGCGTGCACCACCACACCTGCCCAATCCATTTCTCAAACTACTTGTGCATGGGCGCTGAAGTTATAAGGATAAGAACTTGAACTTGCTCAGCCCACAAGGAGCTCAGTTTGGTCCTGTGACAGCAATGATGTTGGCAGTAGAGCCCAAAGATCTACATCGAAACCACCCTCCTCTGGGGATCCAGTTAGGTCTTCAAATCCATCCTCTTCCGCAGAAGGTGGCACCTGTGTTCCACCCCTCCCGGCTGCATGGGAGCCAGCAGACTGTTCCCTTGGGCCCACCGGATTGAGACTCCATCTGCTGCGGCCTGAACCCGGAGCGCCCAGAACCGAGCGCCGCCCGGCGGGTGGGCGGGCAGTCGACAGTGCAGCCAGCGCGGCTAGGCGTCTGGGCGGGGCGGGGCCGCGCTGGGCTCTGCCCAGAGTCGGGAGGGCCGAGGCCACCGGAAGAGTCGCGGTCGCCAGCCGAGCGCCGGGAGTGGGGAGCGGAAGCGGCGGCGGGCGGCGCTGGGACCCGGGAGCGGCCGGAGAACAAGGGAGCTGGCGCCCCGGCCGGCGGCTGAGCGGGGCTGAGCAGCGGGCCGCGCCGAGCGCCGCGGGAGAGAGAGGCCCGGCCCCGCTGCCCGAGCAGGCCGCGCGCCGCGGGGCCGAGGCCGGAGCCATGGGCGAGACCAAGATCATCTACCACCTGGACGGGCAGGAGACGCCGTACCTGGTCAAGCTGCCCCTGCCCGCCGAGCGCGTCACCTTGGCGGACTTTAAGGGCGTTCTGCAGAGGCCCAGCTATAAGTTCTTCTTCAAGTCTATGGACGACGATTTTGGGTGAGGATGGCCCCCGCCCCGCCTCCGGGGAGCCCCTGCCGCCCCGTGCTGGGGGCCAACGCAGCCAGTTCGGACTTCCCTCGCTGCACTGGTTTCTAGCCCCGCTTGCAGCAGGGGAGTGACTCGGTCACTTGGGACCCACTTGATTTTGAGGGACTCCCGATCGCCTCTTGGAGGCCTTGCCCTCCCAGTCCAGTGGGACCCTAAACAATCGGTTCCTACCATTCAAGCCTCGACACTCCCCTCGGATCAGCGGCCCCCGTAAGACGTACATCCCTTCCACTCCACTCCAAAGTCCTCAGCCCTCCTTCCAGGTGCCACCTTTTAAGCATAGAGTTGGGGTATATTGACACCTAGCCTGCCTTCCCCATCCTTGGAGCTCTGCAACTCAGAGCCTTATTTGGAGTGTGCTGTATCTAAGGCTGTAGCCGGTGGGACTTTGAACTGGAGAAGGAGTTGGTGGGGGCAGGGGGAGGGTCTGCCAGGCTGGATGCTGGACCTGATGTTTATTGAGCGAGCGTTCTCCCCTCTCTCCTCGGTCGATGGGTGTTGCCTGACCCGGAGGAGGAGGAGTCCTCACTAACCAGGTGCTGGGGCCTTTTTCTCGCCAGATGGTGATCCCAGAGGAGATGTTGCATGGGGCTTCAGAGCCTGGATGGGAAGGCCAAGGAGGGCCTCTTGGTGTTCTCTTGTCTTCCCCTCCCTACCCAGCTGCAGTTTAGAAGCAGGGACTGCCCCTTTAAGGGAAGTTGGAATGTTGGAGCCTGAGGGTTTTGTAGCAGCTGGCCTGAGAGGGGACACACATACACACACTCACACCCCTCTCAGGGCTTGAGGCTTGCCCACATTAAGTGGACAGTGGGCCTGGAGGTCATGGAGAAGACACACACACACACACACACACACACACACACACACACACACTATCCCTCTTCTGGGCCATGCAGGCCTGAAGGTCCCTCTGATGCACTTGCCTGAGGCTGCTCTGTGCTTGCGGCTGAGGCCCTAGAGCTGGGTGAGGGGAAGCATTCTTCTCCCCAGTGTTCATTAGTCTGGCTTCTCTCACAAGGCCCGCCCTCCAGGCCCCAGGAGGCAAGCACCTTCTGTCTCCTGTCTGCCTTATTTGCCATCTTCTTCCTGGAACTCAGAGTTTGATGAGCTCTTGAAATACTGTGTGTAGCAGTGTTTTGTCCAGTGGAGAGCAGATGGGACTGTTCCTGATTTCATTCTTGCCCGGGGATGAGGACTCCAGTGTGGTGATGGTTGTCTTAAGTCTAGAGTAGGCAAACCTGGTTGAAAGATCTTTTCAGGATCTATCTGGGAGAGTTGGGAGATACTGG